TCCTCCTCCTCCTCCTCCTCCTCCTCTTCTTCCTGCACCCCTCATTTCCCCAACAGTTAGCAGTCCATCTTTCTCTGTAAGCCAGGTCAGTTTAAAGCCTTGCCCAGTGGTGTGTATAGCCACAAACAGTAAAACCAAATGCATATATATTTCCACATATAAAGGGTTTTTCTTCTTTTTCCTGTTTTCTAACTACTTCTGGTTACCTGTGCAGAGGTTTCCTCTGGGGGGGGGGGGGCCCTGGCCGGGGAGGGACTGACTTTTTTCTGGCTTCTGCAACAAAGCATTTCCAGTGGGGTTGCGCTTTGTGGGCACTCCATGAAATTGCGGAGCAGTCGGGTTATAACGGATAAAAGGACATCCTTCTTCACCCAAGGAGTGATTAACACATGGAATTCACTGCCACAAGAGGTGGCGGTGGCTACAAGCACGGACGGCTTCAAGAGGGAATTGGATAAACATCTGGAGCAGAGGTCCATCAGTGGCTATTGGCCACAAGGTATAGATGGGAACTCTCAGTCTGGGCCCACTGCTGGACCTCCTGATGGCATCTGGTATTTTTGGCCACTGTGTGACAGAGTGTTGGACTGGATGGGCCATCGGCCTGATCCAACATGGCTTCTCTTAATGTTCTTAAAGCCACTGATGGACCTCCTGATGGCCCCTGGGTTTGGGCCACTGTGTGACACAGAGTGTTGGACTGGATGGGCCATCGGCCTGATCCAACATGGGCTTCTCTTATGTTCCCCACCCAAGCTTTACCTTCTGCATTTCTTTTGTCCGCAGAGATGAATGTTCGGGAAAACAGAGCAAGACGGGCACCAGCGGCCATTCCTCGTCCAAAGGGCCCCACTGGTTGCGGCGAGATCTACGAGTCCGCTTTGTGGATAAACTCTACAAGGGGGGGAAATACTACAATACAAAAGTACGTCTTTTAAATTATTTGTATCGTGCCTCTCCACGCCTGCCCCTGGCCCAAACCAGTTCACAAAACAATACCCAGTTGCATTTATAACAACGATAACCACCCATATTAAAAGTCTAGTGATCGGCAGCCTGCCACTTAATCTACGCTAAGAAACTTCTTGACATTCACTGCCACAGGAGGTGGTGGCGGCTACAAGCATGGACGGCTTCAAGAGGGAATTAGATAAGCATATGGAGCAGAGGTCCATCAGTGGCTATTAGCCACAAGGTATAGATAGGGACTTTGGGGCAAGTGATGCTCTGTCTTCTTGTTGTTTGGGGGGGGGGTCAACAGTGGGAGGGCTTCTAGTGTCCTGGCCCCACTGCTGGACCTCCTGATGGCCCCTTTTTGGCCGCTGTGTGACAGAGTGTTGGACTGGATGGGCCATTGGCCTGATCCAGCATGGGCTTCTCTTATGTTCTCCTATATCTGGCCCTTCTTTGTGTTGGCAGAGTAATGAACACAGCAGCGGTGCACAACCTGATTACAGAGTAGATAAAGGTTTATTTCTGGAACTAACATACTTGATAGGGTAAGAGGAGAGGAGAGACGGAGGGAGTTTCCTAACTACATCTCCAGCTGAGAGGGAGGGCAAGGCTGAGTGCGGCACTTCTGAGAAGGAGGGGGAGATTGCCCTAAGAGTAGCAATTTGGAGACAGACAAGGAACGACACTTAACAGGAGAGAGGAAGTACTGACCTCACTACCCTAATTGTCTTCTTGCTGCCTCTTTTTCTCCTCTTCTTTCTACACCAGACATTGTCTTTTCTCTTTTTTTGTTATTCTTTAATATAATTTTTATTTTGAGCTTTTTGAGGGAATGCAGAATTTTAAAAAATGGGTAAGGGGAAGAATAAAAGGTAAAATTACCAAAACGTAGTATAATGGGCATTTTCTGCAAATGTAAAGGGCAATCCTTGATTCAAATACTTGAATGTTTAGGAGAATTGTATAGCATTATAACTTCAAAAACCACCATAACAACCTACTCAACATTCTGCCATTTTCTCATAATATATTAACATTTTTATCCTATCTTATCAGTCTTAGTTATACGATAAACCATGAGTAACAGTTGCCTTTCCAACATTTTGTGAAACTCCTCCCACCTTCTGACCCAGATATAAGGGCCGAAGGTTCTTCGTTCTCACTTGTACCTGACGAAGCGAGCTCTTGACGCAAGAACACTTTAACACCCTGGGAAATTTAGTGGGTCTCTGCGGTGCTACTGGACTCGACTCTTGTCCTTACCCCGTGTCCGCTTGGTGTAGTGGTTAAGTGTGCGGACTCTAATCTGCGAGAACCGGGTTTGATTCCCCACTCCTCCACTTGCACCTGCTGATGTGACCTTGGGTCAGTCACAAGCTCTGGCACAGCTGTTCCTGAAAGAGCAGTTTGTGTCAGAGCTCTCTCAGCCCCACCCACCTCACAGGGTGTCTGTTGTGGGGAGGGGAAGGGAGAGGAGTTTGTAAGCCGGTCTGAGACTCCAAGTGAAGGGCGGGGTATAAATCCAATCTCCTCTTCTTCTTAATGCCCTAGGTGCCCCTTCAGAACCATTGCTGAAAAGCCCTACCAAATAACACTGCCTTACTGGAGCTACCGGGGTCAGAGGGGGGAAGTTAGGGGTCCCAGATTCCAAAGGCCTGGGGGACTGGGCAAGAGGCAGGTGGGGGACAGTAACCACTGTTCCCTCTAAGATGAGTTAGCTAGCTCACAGTTTTTTAGCCTCTGGGTCACACATTTCTGTCTCAGCTCAGGAAGGAGGGCTCCAGAGCAAACTACTTTATGCAGCAGCCAAACCACCTGCTCACAATTTTAATGGCAGCAGCTCACAAAGTAGGATTTTTGCTAACAAGACTCCACAGCTTTGAGGGAGCAATGGATACGAGCCACCCTAGCTTCCGTGGGCGCTCTCTTGAAACCATTACCGAAACTGCTCCGGGAGTTGTACCGCATCAACGGCTTGCCGCACGGAGCCGTTCCATACGATTGTCGCAATGTGTGAATGGGCCCTCGAAGACGATTCAGGCTTTTGCTTTCTGCACCACCGGGCATCGCTTAAAAGCCAGACTGCACGCCAGCCACGGGAGAGAAGGCACCAAAGGAAAGAAGCGCGGGGAAGGGGAGACTCTTTAAAAGAAAGAGCCGCTCCACAGCTGAGAACTTGTCAGACTCCCGGTCAAGTTAATCTCAACAACACTCTCTTTGGCAGTGATACGCTTATTGAGTTACAAGCAAGGTCCAGGTCTTAACAGCACAGTGTCAGTTCCAGAGATTGTGGTGGGTCCAATCACAGCTATAGGCAATTTATCTATTTATTAAATTTCTACCCACCCTCCCGCCAAAGCGGCTCAGGACGGCTTACAAGCAATTTAAAACCAGCAAATAGAAGATATAAAATACAATTCCATGCATTCCAATAAATACAATAAAGCTAAATAAATAAATAAATGCGGCAGCATCCTGTAGTAAAGTGCTAGTGCGACCCAACCGGTGCAGTCAGTCCTTATTGGAACGCTTGGCGAAACAGCTCCGTTTTCACGGCTCCACGGAACTGCTGGAGGTCCCGTAGAGCTCTAATCTCGTCGGGGAGCTCGTTCCACAGCGTTGCCTAATTGGGTGGGATGGGGAAAGTTTGGACTTTCCGAAGGCCCACTCATACGTCACATCCACTCCGCCTAGCCCCCAGCGTCTCTACCAGAGGTGGCCAAACTGTGGCTCGGGGGTCACATGTGGGTCTTTTACACATATATCGTGCAGCTCCCGGCAGGGCGGCTGGGGAAGTGAAGGGGAGGCGTGCCTCCCCGATCGGTCTTCCCTTCGCCTTGCGTTCCTTCCACCTCTCCCTTCCCCATCTTCTTCCTCCCTCCCTCCTTCCCTCTCTCTCTTTCTCCCCTCCTCCCTATCTAAAGTTAAATATCATCATCAATATCTGTTTTTACCCCTTTTCCTTTTATTTTTGGCAGTCTCATTTAATGTTAGTAAAAAGCAAGTTTGCATATTTTTCAATAAAAATGTGTGGATTATATATTTGCTCATGCCTTGTGGCTCTCAAATATCTGACGTTTATTCTATGTGGCTCTTACGTTAAGCAAGTTGGCCACCCCAGTCTCTCCCCCCTTCACCTGGGAAATAGACAATCCCATTATCTACAAGCTGGCACCGAAAGTCCCACGGAGGTTCCTCTGGGAATGAGAGGAAGGCTTCTTCAGAAGAATTACGCTCCTAAGAGAGTACAGCCGCACACTCCACTCTCACACACATCCCCACCTAAGGAATTCCCCTCCCCCAGCCTCTGTGGCAAACTGAGCAGAGGGAGGTTTGACCGAACCGAAGTGGGGGCCCTTCCGTAAGAGGCCAGGCCGCTTTGGACAGCGGACGTGTTGCATGGCGGGAGGGGCCAACTCACTGCGGTCCTCTAGCGCAGGCTCACGTGTATATTGGCTGGGGGGATCAGGTCCCGCTGCGTTCCGAAACGTCCTGCAATCCCATTCTCTGTTTTTTTCCCCCCAGATGGTCATCGAGGATGTCCTGAAGCCAGATACTTGTGTCTGCCGGACAGAAGAGGGCCGGATCCTGGATGGTGAGTGTGTTGCAGCCTCTTTCCCAAGCCACCTCCTCCTATATGGAGGTGGTGCCCAGGCCCGCCCTCGGGCGGAGAGGCCGCCCCCCTGTCGGTTTATGTCAGAAGGCTGGCTTGGCATTGGGAGGGGGTGGTTTGCCCTCTAAGAGGTGGAGCTGGTTAGGCCAGAAGTGTCTCCGGTTTCAAGGGGATCTGCTCTGAGAAACCGGAGGCCATTGTTTTTGGTTGTGCCAGAGAGGCAAGTCGCAGCTCTGGCATGTGTAGCATCCAGGAAACGGAGCCCCTCACAAAGCTGACTTCACAAAGCACAATGTAAAGCTTTGTGTTTTTGAAAGGGACGTTTTTGGACTGCTTTCATAGCGCACCGTATTTTTAGGACGAGCTCAGTTGATCTGCCTTTTGACCGGGGAAGCAACTTGACTGTTGAATTGTTGGGTTTGGCCGTGGACTGCTTTGAGAGACCGAAAGACGTATAAGAGAACTTACAGGAGGAGGAAAGGGCCTTTTGAAATGTTTTCCTTTTCATACCTCATGGCGAAATCATTCGCCAGCCAAAATGGCCTCGAAAGTGTTGCTAAAGCTCTGGTTGACCGGAAGCGAACTGGGGACCTGATTTTTAGGAAGTGTTCTAGACTTGGTGTAGACCAGGGGTCCCCAGCATAGCGCCTGCGTGCACCTGGCATCTGCCAACGAGTGTTTTTAGAAAATGGGCAGCGCTGGGTGGATCTTCTGCCCAGCGAGGCTTCTGATTGGCCCCTGGAGACTTGATTGGCCGTGTGCAAGGATCTTCACTGTGTGGCTGAAGGGAAGCGGTGGCAGCCATTTTGTGGCTGATCGGCTTTGCCTCCTGTGGCAGCCATCTTCCTAGAATGATTTTGTGGCTGCCCCCACCACACTGCAGAGGCGCCCACCAATGTTCCCTCCAAGCTGAGTTAGTGTGAGCTAGCTCACTGTTCTTTAGCTGGTTTTGACCTTTAAAGCCCTTTATGGCCAGGGTCCTGCATACCTAAGGGACCGCCTTTCCCCATATGTTCCCCAAAGGACACTGCGATTGGGGACCCAGAACCGGCTGCCCCCCACAAGCTTCAAGGAGGCCAGACTGGTGGCAACCAGGGCCAGGGCTTTCTCAGTGGCTGCTCCATTCTGGTGGAATGAGCTCCTGGAAGAGACTATGGCCCTGCAGGACCTTTCACAGTTCCGCAGGGCCTGTAAAACAGAGCTCTTCCACCAGACCTTTGGAGCTGCCACCACTAAGACCTCCACCGCCAACAGTTAATATCTACTTTGGTGGAGCCCTGGCCCGTAGGTCCCTCAGCCTGTGCCAATGACCTGAGATACACAGCCCGTGCCAATGATCTGAGAGAGCCGCAGAAGGCCGAAGACCCAATTGGGATCATGAGGACTGTTGCTAGCACTTCATCTTGTTTGGATTTTAATGTTGTGTTTATTAATGTATGTGATTTTTATTATGATTGTTTTGTGCGGATTTTATTGTTTTGAGCCGCCCTGAGCCAGCCTCGGCCGGGATAAAAATTTAATAATAAATGAACAGAGGTTGTTTGCCATTGCCTTGCCTCTGCGTAGCAACCCTGGGCTTCCTCGCTGGGTCTCCCATCGGTGTACTAACCAGGGCTGACCTTGCTTCGCTTCTGAGATCTGACGGGAATAGGCCAGCCAGGGCAGAGCAGAGACGAACGGAGGGGCCCTTGCCTGCCTCTGCGTAGCGACTCCCTCGCTGGCTGCCCAGCCAAGATCATGCCTCAACGAAGCCGCTTCCTCCCTCCCATCTCATCTGAGGGCTCAGCTCGTCCCTCTTCCGTCCCCGCAGGCATCCAAGAGTCCATGCTGGAGACCGTGATTCCCCGGGGTGACTCCGACTGGGTGATGGTGGTGCTGGAGGAGCACGCCGGCCAGGTGAGTCTTAACACCCGAGCAGGTTGGTTGGCATGGGACCCTTGTGGGGTGGGCGTGGGGGTGGAACCCAGAGTGAAAGGAATGGGATACGACGACGGGGGGAAACTGGCTCACCAGCAGCCCACCTCATCCTCCTCGCTTCTGTTTTAGCCTCACAGCAGTCCTGCGAGGTAGGATTGAGAGCGCGGGACTGTCCTAAGGTCACCGAGCAAACTCCTAGGGCAAAGTGGGGATTGTAAGGTGGGTCTCCCCGATCTCAGTCCGATGCCCCCATTTGTTCAATGTTTGAGTCCAGCGGTCCCTTGAAGGCCAACGAAGTTTAATTCTGGGGATAAGCGTTCGTGTGCACGCACGCTTCTTCAGATACATCGAAGCAGACTTCGCCAACCGTTACATATGGACTGTGGCTCGGCAGCCACATGCGGCCCTTTCACGTACATTGTGTGGCTCCCGGCAGGGTGGCTGGGGAAGCAAAGGGGAGGCGCACCTCCCCAATCTGTCTTCCCTTCCCCAGCCAGTGGTGGGGTGGGGTGGGGGGACAGAGAAAGAAAGCACCTTTAACTTTAACTGCATTCTCAAAGCCTCCCCCTCCCCCAGCCTACAAGTATCATTGGATAAACAAATACCGTTATCAATATCTGTTCTTAACCCCTTTTGTTTTTATTTTTGGCATTCTCAGTTAATGTTCATAAAAACGAAATTTTCATATTTCCCAGTAAAAACAGGTGTGTAATATTTGTTCATGTCTTGCGGCTCTCAAACATCTGATGTTTATTCTATGTGGCTCTTACGTTAAGCAAGTCTGGCCACCCCTGATATAGAGGGTGGCAGGTTAGTTGCCAGGAAGGGCTAATTGGAGTCGAGATGTCTAAGTAACTGAGCGATAAGTACAGCTAAGATTGGATCCAAGCAGATGGTAACATCTGTGAATAGCAGCAAATTAGCATACGGATTGTGAAAGAATGAACAGATGTGAGAACCTAGCATGGGTAGGGAGATAAGAATCCGATATCTCTTTTAAGCCCTGGGGGTTCCATTGTTCTGAGTGTTGTAATAACTCGTAATTCAGCAGTCTCCCATTCTAGTCTGTTTCTGAAGTTCCTTTGCAATAAAACGACTATTTGTTTTTTTTATTTATTTATACAATTTATATCCTGCCCTTCTGCCCTTACATGGGCCACCGAGGTGGCTGTTTAAAACGTAAATGATAAAATACATTATAAAACCTTTAAAATAACCATCTCAAACATACCTCATTAAAACAACTTTTCAAAGAGTTTTAAAAACAGAGCTAAAATACCTATAAAACATAAAACACTGATTAGGAAGGAAGAACATCAGAAGAGCCCTGCTGGATCAGACCACTGAGGGTCCATCTAGTGCAGCATCCTGTCTTACAGGGTGGCCAACCATTTCCTCTGGAGGTGCCAACAACAGGGCATAGAGGCCAATCAGTTCCCATCGACAGCCAGCAATAGGGCACAGAGGCCAAGGCCTTCTTCCCCTGATGTTACCTCCCAGCTCTGGGATCCAGAGGCTTAGGGGGTCATTGATCACTGAGGGAATACCAAACCAAACGAAAAAGTCTGCACCAGGACAATGGTGAAGAGGTCCAGGGACAATGCTTGGTGGTTATTATCGTAACCAGTGTTCCCGCTAAGCTGAGTTAGTGTGAGCTAGCTCAGAGTTTTTTTAGCCCCCAGCTCACAGGTTTTGGTCTCAGCTCAGGAAGGAGGGCTCCAGAGCAAACTGATTTATGCAGTCGCCAAATCGCTCGCTCACGACCTTAATGCCAGTTAGCTCACAAAGTAGAATTTTTGCTCACACGACTCCACAGCTTAGAGGGAGCACTGCTAACGACCCCTGCTCAATTGATCAGAGTTTTATTTTACATACCGATTTCACTGTGGCATTCTGCAGTGATCTACCCACTGCAGATGTACGTAATGTATGACGAAGTCCATTTGATTTAGATTTATTCAGGAGTCATTTCGGGGGGGATCGCGGTTCCCCCGGGTGAGGTGTGGGGGGCGGGGCACACGATGAAGCCTCGCCCCCTGCTTCCAGCCCTCATTCAGCCAGGAGGAGGCAGGAGAAGAGGGAGGGTAAGTTGCTTCCTCCCCGCCTCTCCCCAACCCTGCCTGCCTGGGGCCAGGGAGGGCCTTCACGGGGCTTCCTTGCACTCCCGCCGGCCTTGCAGGTCCACCGCCGGGCCCCTGATGTCAGGGGGTGTGGCATATGCTAATGAGTTATGCTAATGAGTTCTCCTACGAAACTACCCCTGGATTTATTTATTTTTTTAAATCCCAGCTATTCTTCACGAGTGCTCGGGATGGCAGACAGTTCCCAATGCCCATTTTAGCCTCACGACAATCCTGTAAGGTGTGCGCCCTGACCTAGATAGCATGGGCAAGCCGATCTCTTCGTATCTTGCAGAGCCAGGTCTGGCCAGCATTTGGATGGGAGACCCTCCAAGGAATACCAGGGTCACGATGCAGAGGCAGGCAAGGGCGACCCGCCTCTGAAGCGTCCATTGCTCTCAAGCCCCGCTAGGGGTCGCCAGAAGTCAGCTTGACTTGATGGCAAAGAAAGAATCTTGTAAGGTAGGGTTAGGCTGAGAAAAGTGAGTTCGTTTGGGGGGGGGGACGACTCAAACCTGCATCTCCCCCCATTCTCCCCTCCCCCGAAACATTCATCACAGGTTATAGCACATAAACGTTCAACCTGCCACAAATTAAAGATGGAACTATTAGCTACACAATGTAAATACAATGTTCCCTCCAGGGGTCGTTTCGTAGGAAAAGAGCTAGGGGAACTCATTAGCATAACTCATTAGCATATGCCACACCCCCTGACATCATAAGGCCCGGCGGTGGACCTGCAAGGCTGGCGGGAGTGCGACTAAGCCCCGCCAAGGCCCTCCCTGGCCCCAAGCAGGCAGGGGTGGGGATAGACGAGGAGGAAGCAACTTACCCTCCCTCTTCTCCTGCCTCCTCCTGGCTGAATGAGGGCCGGAAGCGGGTCAGCCGGAAGCAGGGGGTGGGGCTTCGTCGTGTGCCCTGCCCCCCACACCTCACCCGGGGAACTGCGTTCCCCCCACGTTCCCCCCCGAAATGACCTCTGGCTCCCTCTAAGCTGTGGAGTTTTGTGAGCAAAAATTCAACTTTGTGAGCTACTGGCATTAAAGTTGTGAGCGAGCGATTTGGCTACTGCATAAATTAGTTTGCTCTGGAGCCCTCCTTCCTGAGCTAAGACAAAGATGCGTGAGCCGGAGGCTAAAAAACTGTGAGCTAGCTCACACTAACTCAGCTTAGAGGGAACACTGCTCCCCACCCTTAAATTTAAACCCACGTTTGCAAGTCCTGCCCCCTGCTGCCCACAGGAACAGCTCCCTGCCCCCCCCCAGTCTCCTCTTCTCCAGACTGAACCTTCCCAAGTCCCTCAGCCTGTCCTCACAGGGCTTGTAAAGACACACAGGGATTGGCACACATATGCCTCTCACACACACACCCCCGCACTTGCAATCTCAGGGGAGCACATTACATTTCTCTCTCTCTCTCTTCTCTCTCCCATCCTTAGGTGGGCCGCATACTGCGTCGCAACAAGGACCAGGGCTGCGTGCTGGTGCAGCTGCAGCGGGACGAGGACAAACTGCTGACCCTGGATTTCGACGCCGTCTGTCACTACGTCGGCGGATCGGAGGACGACTGAGTGCCGCTTGGCCCTCCGGAGCACACAACACCTGCGCTAAATAAACAGGGCCCCCCCCCTTCCCCAAAACCCTCCTACATGGTCAAGAGCAGAGCCCTCCTTTGACTCCTCTCTTGCAGTGCCGGAAAAGCTGAGCGCCCTCGAGGAAGCGGAGGACGCGATGGCCTCCCCTGCAGAGCGGGCTCAAGTGTTGTAGTCTAAACGGGCTCTGGGTGCAAGTTCTGCTCCTCGAGACACAGGCTTGTGCTTTCTAAACGGGGGGGTCGGGAGGAGGCCACAGAGAGAACCGAGGGCCTCTCAAGGTTCTAGAGCAAGAACGCACAGAACAAATCTAATCAGGAACGAAAGTCAGCCGATGTGGGTAGCTGCTGGCTTGCTCTAGAGCAGTGGGAGGTTAAGGGTGTGTCCTGACCAGTGGAAGCTGGATTTGGCTCTCTTGCCCCCACGAGGAAGGGAGTCTTCTCCACTCTAGATTTTTAGGATGTCCTCTAGACAGTGAGTGGCAGCCGTGAATTTGTGCGATGGCTATGGGACGGAGGTGAATACCATGAAACCCTTGCTCCGAGCAGAACGCCAGGTGCTTTGGGTATTCACGGGGAGGAAACGCGGGCGTATGTTTTTTAACCTGGATTTTCCAGAGCAGTGCACATCGGTTGCCGATGGAAATCGCGAAGCCAGGACTGCGGGACAAAGATCTTTTAAGACAGAACGTGGCAAAGAGCCCTGGAATCTCTCTAGGGCCCTGAGCTCAACCGATCTTGTTGGGCTCTCGGGACGTGATCCGAAAGAAGGATTCCAGGTTCGCCATAAAGATTCCAGGACAACCATTTTTTGATTCTGAACCTGAGATCAACAACGGGCTGTGGATCAGCCCTCTCAAAAGGGGGGAGCAGCTCGTTCTGAAGGACATAGAGAGGGTCTTTGACAGTTGGCTCCCGTCAGCCCTCCCACATGAGAAACAGGCATGCGAGGGGGTACCCCTTTCGTGGGCGGCGGAGGCAGACTTGGCAGGGCCAGGGTACCACCCCCAGCCAGCTTCCCCTGGTTTTATTTAAATAAACACCCGGGTTTTTCCTCCCTTGTTTTATTTGTGCAATTGCAATCCTGGTAATTTAGTGTGACATTATCGTTACCATTAATTCAGTTTGTTAATTGCCCTGTCCCAGTTTACGCCAGGCTCTGCATGATGTACAGGCAGCATGGTGCCATAAAAATACACAAAACATTAAAATTCAGTATACAATTTGATTAAAAACTAGAAACCCAGACTAAAAGATCCAAGTTGGCATCCTGTAAATTTCCTTTTTTTGTTGTTGTAATAATTTTTTTTTATTTTCTACACAAAACAGACAAAACAAACATAGAAGAGAGTAATCTCAACACAATTATATCTCATAAGGTACCTCATCGTACATATATTTCTAATTATCTATCTTTCTACCAAAAAGCCATAAAATTTTTGCAACTCTATATTTCATCATTACAATTTTTTTACTACTTAAGGATTATCGAAGTTTCCTAACCCAGTTCTGGGCTGCTGGCCATTTTCTCGGCAGGGGGAGAGGGAACTCAAGAAGAAGAAGAAGAGAAGAGGAGATTGGATTTATACCCCTCCCTTCACTACCAAAGGGAGTCTCTGAGCGCCTTACAATCTCCTTCCCCTCCCCACAACAGACACCCTGTCAGCAGTGTTCCCTCTAAGCTGAGTGAGTGTGAGCTAGCTCACAGTTTTTTAGCCTCTGGCTCACACATTTTTGTCTCAGCTCAGGAAGGACGGCTCCAGAGCAAACTAATTTATGCAGTAGCCAAATCACTTGCTCACAACTTTAGTGCCAGTAGCTTATAAAGTAGAATTTTTGCTCACAAGACTCCACAGCTTAGAGGGAACATTGCCTGTCAGGTAGGCGGGGCTGAGAGAGCTCTAACAGAAACTGCTCTCTTTGAAGGACAGCTCTGAGAGAACTGTGACTGACCCAAGGTCATCCAGCCAGGTGCAAGTGGAGGAGTAGGGAATCAAACCCGGTTCTCCCAGATTAGAGTCCTTGCACTTAACCACTACACCAAACTGGCAGAAGGGGGGGGGGGAGGAAGGGCGCC